CCCTGCGTCATAGGAGATGATAGGAGTGTCAGCCATAATGATAAAGCTAATTCCTTTCAGTCTACTTCTCCTTCATCCTGACATCTTCATTCCCTCCCCTGTCTCTTTTTAAGGACCCCAAAGGGAACAATGGGTGGAATAGCCATCCCCTCATTATTTTGTTCACCAACTAAGACTTCCTTCCAACACACCAATTTTAGTTAATTAATTTCTGATTCCATTCTCCTTTGTTCATCAGTCATGATCTTAACACAGTCCTTGGGTAGTGGCAGTAGACTTTTGTGCCTGGCTTTCTTCAAGTTTGACTTTCTTCAAGTTTTGCTGACTTTTATAAACAATTTTATGTAACAGGCTGAGTTGGCCTTTTGGTACCTTGGACACCTTAGAGTAAGACCTCTGCACAACAGCTTCTTGAGCAAAGAATGCCATGTCAAATTGTTTGATGTGTTCAAATGGAGACTTATTTTAGGATGAACTAATTTTCACTTATGAACAAGGTTAAATTTTAGAATTTCACCTCAGTGCTCCCCAATTGCCTGCCTATGCACTAACCTACTGTGCCACATGATCCTGGATGTAGCTGATTTTTTATTATGAATTTTTCCTTTGTTAAACAGTAGGCAGCCTCAAGAATCTGATAGTTCACTGGTCCAAAATCAGGTAAGAAGGCTTTCGGATAATTTAAAGAGGATTGATTGGCATTGCCAGTTTTTCAGCCTCATTACCAAAATTAATATTTCTCAAAAGCTTTATTTATAGTCTTTGGTATTTTTCTTGACTTTAAAAAAAATAAAATCTATATATTTATGTGTGTGCCCTTCTCCCATTGCTGGTTTGGCAATATCCTCCTTTTCCCTCTATAGTTCAATACAATATATGATGCCAGTTTGACTACAATGAACATGGTGAATACTAACAGACTCACACAATCATGCACATCATACAACTACGTGCTGTGTCTTTGGAACTTACTTCTTTATCCACAGTAGGATGAGCACAAGCATCTATTTTCTTAAGGAATTTCTCCAAAGAGGAGTTTAATGTCTGTGCCTGTAAATTGGAGTTTGCCACCTAAAACAGAAGCAGATGTTAGTGAAATGAAAACTCAGTTGAGATAAATGAACACTCAAACATTTATAGAACTATCAAAAGATTTCTCCAGGAGGGAGCAAGCACAGAGATCCTCATGAAAGAGCACACTATTTATTTTCAAAGAACAAAAACATTGAATCACTGGTACCCAAAATGGAAGCCAAATTCAATGATTCATAACAGCAACTCTTTTTTCATGGCCTATATTGCATCAAGCAGATGGCTGGTCTATTTAGTTTTAGGTGGTTAGAGTGAAGTGCTGCAAACCCAGGGCGTGATCCTACTTGACTACAACAGGAGCAGGATTGGGTCCTAAATCCCTAGAGTCAAGGCTGGCAATGGCAGAGGAAAAAACAGTCCTTAAATAATAGATAAAAACACTGTACCTATGTCCCATCTGTGTGTTTGCCTCTTCAAACCAAGCCAAAAACCCTTTGGATAGAATAAGTGAGATATATAAATGATTGAGATTGAACCAAACTAAAGTTCTGGAATTTGTATTTGTACCTCTGATTTGATTTTCACTTGTAGATTTGTTAGAAACCGCTGGATTTTCTCCATGAAAAGACGATCCATTGCAAGATTATGGAATTTTGTTTCAAACTTGTTGATAACCTCAGTAGCCTCAAAAACAAATGCCAAAAATCAGGAGATAAATCAGACTTAAACTTGGCCTTCTTAGCCTTTAATAATAGCACTTGGCATTTATATAATGATTTTCATGTCACACAAACATTAACTAAATCTAAGAGTGTCTCACAACGAAAATCTATTAACACGGGGGATTAGAATGGTTACACTAGCTGCAGCCAGGAATTTGAACACTAGAAGGGAATGAAGATCTGCCTACTTGCTCTAAGTAGTTTGACTCCATTTTCTCCATATCAATCATGATTAAGCCTTCAATGAAGTCAATGCGTCCTGTTTCTTTCTCCAGACGCTTACAAAAGAACTCCACCTCTTCTGGAGAAAAGTTACCTCCCTCTGAAAATAATCTGAAAACAATAAGTGAGAATGGAAAGTAATTGTCTTAGGTTCTTCCACCTCCTCAAAAGAATCCTTAGCTGAACAGTCCCTATTATATATATATTTTCATGGGATGAAAACACTATTATAATATTAGTAGTATACTTTTTTAAAGGATGAACTTGAATTTTATTGTGCTGACTTGACAGTAAATTACAGAATGTAGGTAAGGAGACAAGGAGAGCGAGAGAGAAATAAAACTATACAAGCCAGGCGAACAGAGATAGATATAGAAATAAACACCCTCACACCTCTCCCTTATACCTGCAAGCTTTAAGAAAGTCCACGTTTGAATCTCGTAGTTTCCCCAAGGCTTCTTCTAAATAGTTCCGGTAACTCCGCAGGGATATTTGGATAACTTCTACATGATTAAGCAGCTCTGAGTGCAGAGAGTTGCTTAGAGCAACCAACCTAAGAGCAAATAACAAAAGACAGCTTTTTCAGGGAAATCTATGGGAGAGTAGACATTCCTTTTCAAAGGCTGCTGGGTCTTGGAGAGAGCAGAAGAATGAGAGTTTAATCAGCGCGCTTCTGCTTCCCTTCCATTGGGAATGTTTTGATGCGGCAGCATACAGCAGACACACTACTAGCAAACACTCAGTGCTATGGAAGAGGACTCTTATAACCTAACTTGTCAATTGCTACTAGTGTACAGGATAGGTAGCATGGATAAAATCTGGATACATGAAACAAACTTTTTCTACTTTATTCTAAAATTTTTATAAAATTCACAAATGACTTTAGTTTCTTAGCAGGGAGATAAAGAAACCCTGGAGAGGTGTTGGTCTTGAGATATTAACTTCCACTTCTGCTGAAGGGACCTGGAGTAACTGACTTCACAGGACCTGGGGTTTCTAGGTTTTACAGTGCACTGAGAGAGGAAACAGAGAGTCTAACTGAGTTAACCAAAGGATTCTTTGTAACAAAGACTCTCACTCAAAGGAATGGAAACTAAAGTGAGAAAAGCATTCCATGTGTCTCCCTTGCAAAGGATATTAGGGAAAAAAGAACTCAGCATAGCCCAACCTTTATATTTATTCCACACTTTGGGCACCATCACTCTTGTGAGAAATAGTTGTGTGAGCTAAGTTAGTACATACACACATGGGCGCACACAAATCAATGAATGTAAATGGAATTTTCCTCTTATTTATTTACACTCTGTCATTTCCATTCGTTATTTCATTTTTGCCCAAACATTACTGGAGATGCCTTCTAGTATCCTTGGGGATGATAAAAAGTGTTTATATTTAGTTTTATTTTTCACATCATCGGTCCCCTCATTATTATAATTGCTCTAAAACATGGCTGACAAGCCTAAAAGTAGCAGAAGAGCAATAAATACTGTACTACGGCTGGATAATGATAAAAGTCTCAGATACATGAGCTTTTTGATCTCAGTGTGTTCAAGTAACGGTTACTCTATGCTGAAGCTTTTCTGTTTTAGATTACAGATTTACAGGGTAATGTGACTGTACATTAGACAAAAGAACCTGGTAAAGATTGTCCCACTCAGAGTTATTGACCAGCTGAAGGTGGACAGGGCAATAATTAGGTCAAATGATCCTACCTCAGTCAAATGAGCTGCCTGGCAATCAAACAGTAAGATAAATGCTTCAAACTATCCCAGTGAGAGAATGACAATGATACCTGCTGCTGTTCACGAAATCTGGGATAAGGGAGATTCAGGATGCAGTCCAGGAGTGGGAAACCTCACAAACCATGAGACTCATAATGTGCTTACTTTTCAGCCTTAGTGGAACTGAGGAAGATGGCCTCCATGTCCTGGATCCTTCTGCGGAAGTTCTTGCTGATGTCATTTTGGTCCTCTCGGAGTTTCATAAACTCATTTTTCTCCTTGTTCAGAGCTTCCACCACCCCTGCACAGTGACACTCCAGACGCTCTTGGTGAAGAAGCAGCTCCGCTGAGAGGAAAGGAAGTACTCTTATATGGCCATCACCTCAAGCTTGGATTGAGCCTGAGCATTACGACATGATCTATCCTGACTTCCAACACAAGTGACTATGGCTTACCCCAACAACTAGCCTCTACACTCAGTAGAAGATGGCTGGTGGTGTGAAAACTTGTAGATTTTGGGGGGGGAAGGGAGTAGTCTTGTTAGTCTGTATCAGCAAAAACAATGAGGAGTACTTGTGGCACGTTAGAGCAGGGGTTGGCAACTTTCAGAAGTGGTGTGCCAAGTCTTCATTTATTCGCGGTAATTTAAGGTTTTGCGTGCCAGTAATACATTTTACATTTACAGGGGCCGGCGGATGGAACCCCAGACTGGCAGCAGGCTGAGCAGACTGGCGGTTGGGACCCCAGAGCCGGCAGCGGGCTGAGCCAGCAGCGGGCTGAGCCACTCAGCCACTGCTGGTCTGGGGTTCTGTCTGCCGGCCCCTTCCAGCCGGGGTCCCAGCTGCCGGCCCCGCTCAGCCTGCCCGGGGTTCCGTCCATCCAGGCCAGCAGCAGGCTGAGCGGGGCCGGTGGAGGGGACCCCAGGCCAGCAGCAGTGTGCCATAGTAAATCAGCTAATGTGCCGCCTTTGGCACATGTGCCATAGGTTGCCGACCCCTGCGTTAGAGACTAACAAATTTATTTGGGCATAAGCTTTCGTGGGCTATAACCCACTTCATCAGATGCAAATTTGTTAGTCTCTAAGATGCCACAAGTACTCCTTGTTATTTTTATGTTAAATGTGAATTTCTCCCCTTTGCTCCCACGCTCTCTCCTCTCCCTCCCTTCTCAGTCACTGCTGACATCTCCACTATCCTTCCCATCACCCAGACTTGCAACCTCAGCTGGTTGGGAAATTTCTTGTCGGAATAATTGTATAATGGATAATGCTCCTTTTGCAAAGACAAATTTTTCTGTGGGAAAATTTCCATTTTGAAAAAAAAAAGATTTTCAATTAGGAAAATCAAAATGATAGCTTCCCAGAAGGGGAGATGCAGCCAAGCTTGTGGGGAAGCAGGGAGGCTGAACGTCTTGGCTCTCCACCTGCCCAGTTCTCCGGCAGTCCAGCTGCCTCTCCAGAGGGGAAGCAGGAAGACTGAAAGACAAGGAGGCAGAGAGGTAGAGTGCTGGATATAGGAGGGAAAGAGACATGGACAAGAGCCTTCCAGGCAGCCAGACAGCAAGCTGACCTAAAATGAATTTTTTTGGAATGTCTGTCCTGTGAAAAATGTAGAGGTTTTATTTTTCGTCCCAAATTCCTATGCTTTAAAATTTTCCACAGGATAGAAATTTCAATTTCCAGCCAGCTCTAAACCTCAGTGATATCTTCAACACCTCAATCCTTCTCCTATATCCAGGCTCTTGTTAAGCTTTGTCACTTCTTTCTCTAAAATTATTCTAAAATCCCCCCTTTTTCTTTTGTCTGCCATGACAAAACCTTATTAGCTGAATTTCAAAAGGTACTGAGCATCCACTGCTCCTATTGACTTCAATGGGACCTGTGAATGCTCTGCATCATTAACAATCAGCTCAGAGGGCCATTGATGAATCTCTTCTTAGTGTGAACCAGGAGGAAACATATGTGAGCTACGAAAAAGGAAAGTTAACCCCCCCCTTCCCAATATGTAAGAAACTAGCAAGTTTAGGGTAGGAGCTAGAAAAGGCCCCTTGAACCCACATTATTCCCCAATATTGAATCAATTAACACTAGCCACTGCTGTGCCAGGTTATGACTCACACCTGGAGAGCTCTAAAAAAGAGACGTGCTGCCCAAAGTGAATATACGTACCAGCCCTGACATTATGGATATCCTTTTCTATGCGCTCGCGCCTTGGCTGATGCATGTGAAGATGCAGTTGCAGCTCCGAATTCAGCTCCTCTTTCTTGGCAGTTACAATGATCCAGGAGTTGGACAAGGATTGGGCAAACCACTTCTCGAGGTGCTCAAAAAAGCAGAGGCGGATCCTATGATTGAAAAGCAAACACATTGCTTTGGGAGAGAGAGCGCATGCATGTGTGTGAGAGACAAAGGATTTTATTTTGCAGAAAAACTCTTCAAAGATCTCAAGTAAAAAAAAAAAAACAAGCTCTGAGGAGTCTGACTCCACTGAGATAAGGTTTCTCACCAATCGCACAACAGTGACACTACTGTTTCGATCCAACATAAAGAATGTTAGCCTGCCCAACTTGTTATTCTCTTTACAGCATCTCAGTTCAATCATCCTGCCATGGATTTCTCTGATATAGTTAATCCACTGCTTTTAATAGAAATGCAATTGCTAAAATGCAGAAGAGTTGGTGCTCCATCAAAATGAAGGGTAAGAAAAGGGACTTGGAGGGAGGGGATTCAGAGCTTTGAGCAAGGAACTGGAAGCTAGATGCTTTGAGTTCATGGCTCTGCCAATGCTTTGTTGTGTGACTGGACAAGGCAGTAACCTTTCTGTGCCTCAGTCTTTAAAATAAGGATAACATCTTCCTCACAGATGTGCAGTGAGACTTAAACATTTGATGGAATGCAATATAAAATGTTTCTTATTATTCTTTTCGAAAGGTCATAAAAGGGGGTAGCATACAGATAACTTTTGGATGCTCATTCAAACTTTACCTCCAAACCTTCTGAGGTTTGTCAATTACTTAGGGGAAAGAAAAAAGGACAAACTACACTCTACTAACCGTTTCTTAAGCTCTGTAAAAAAGCTGTCTGGTACAAACACATTCTCCAGGTACACAGGAAGTGTTTTTTCTGCAAATTCAGCATAATAGATCTCGGAGGTCTTGGTCTTGCCTGTCTCCTCACGTCCAAGGACTGAGTAAGTGTTCCCACTAGAGGTGGTGAACACCTCTGCTATTACTTCACATCTTTCAGCCTCACCATAATCATGGAACGGAACCTAGGAAGGTAACAGGAAATCATAATTTGTTATCTTTGCTACTGACAAGTTTTTAAAGACCTACTAACATGGGCCATACACAGGTTAATGTTGCGAACCTATGGATTTCAAGAACCATGAGCCATGTTCTGATTCCTAGTTTGGAAAACAAAGATATAACGAGCAACCAAGTTTGTGCATTTCAGCATGCTGATATTTTGCTGTTAGCCTAGCAGTGTTTGTGCAAGGCAAAAAGTAGAAGGTGATCATTCCATTTTCTTCAATCTATAGAGAAGTGAAGAATATCCTAGTACTTCAGGGTGGTCACTAGCCTCGGGTCACCAGTACCTCTGTCAGTGTGTCCAGGAATAATACAAATAAAACTTTACAGCATAGCCAGCAAAAAGTTGGCATGGTTTGGATTTTTTTTTAAAGAACCTTATTAAGATGCTCTGGATAGAGATATATCCTCTTTGCTGAGTTTTATTATTATTATTTCAATCCCTTTGAAATATGAGCTGCAAATGCTCGGCTATATGGGCTGAAATGCTGTCTAGTTTCACTATAGATTTTGTAATTGCCTTTGTAGTTTTTTGTTGAAATGCTCTTTTGTAACTTCTTAGAGGGAGTTTCCTCAGCTATCCCTATGTTCCCAAAGCAATATTACAATTAGGAACTAGTGTTTCTTTCTGTCAGCTGTAAAATACACAAAGTAAAGAGTGATTATCAGCGGAGACAACCATTGCAAAATGCTTACTGGTTCCCAGTTGGGTTGACCTAATAGGATCATTAATGCCAAGGGATCAGAAGAATTCCAGTTCAGGATTTTGCTGCTGAAATGTGCAGAACACACACATGGCAAGGTCAGACATAGGATGAGGAACTAGTACTACACTAATTAGTTAACTTTCTTTTAATGTCTTGCCACCAACTATTCCGAGGCACCCCACTCACATAAAAGGCTGTGTTACATTGAGGCAATGACCATTTAGGTTCTCCACTAAGTACAGACCTGAAAAGAAAATACTGAGATATAGAGATAGTGTTATACCATCATCTTGGGCTGACAATACTAAATGAAGGAAGGAAACAGACCCATGTCGGAAAAGTCTCTTTTCGGCTGTTTCTTGGAAAAAGGACAGGAAAAGTGCATGAGGGAATGGTCATGCACTGATGTATGGGCTTCACCATCACACATACAGAATCTACAGCTGCTCTAAATACCTAATGGTATATATTACAGAACATCACTAAACTAATTCAGTAAAGACCCATATGTGTTTTGGCTATATAACCATCAAAAAGATTTGCATTTGTGCTGAAGCTGATTTACCTTCATGAAGAAATTAGACCTACCTCAGACTCCGGAAGAATATCTTTCAAATAATCCATTTCTTCATACTCTTGTGCAGGACTGTCTCCATCCTCAAACCTATTTGCTTCACTTTCTGCACTGTCCTCTAAGTGTTCAGTTTCTTCACTTTCCTGAGCTGTGCTCTCCCCATCCCCTGGTTTCTCTGCTTCCTCAGTTTCTTGTACAATGCTCTCCTCATTCTCAACTGTATTTGTTTCTTCAGTTTTGTTTGTGAGGCTCTCAACCTGCTGCTCTGATTCTGTACTTCCTTGTGGAAAGCTCTCAGCCTGATGCTCCGTTTCTTCAGTTTCTTGTAGAAGGCTATCCCCTGTCATCTCTGCCATATTTTCAACTTCTGAGTCTCCAATTAAAATAAGACAGAAATGTCATCAGTCATATTCCAAAGAAGCACAGATTGAAAAAATAAGACTTGTACTCTTGAGACATTACCTTGCTCTTCAAATGCAGAGCCCACCTCCCCGGGTAAGGTTGAGAAGAAAAAGAAACAAAAAGGTACAAATTATTTGTTTAGAATAACATCAAGTTCACTTCACTTTCCAAAATTAATGTACTCCATCAGCATTTGAAAGTTCAAAGTCATAATGTACCATTAAAAGGAACTCATTTTAAAAATGTAATACAGATTTGGATGATTTTTTAATTCTAATTTTTCTGTTTTAAAATGTTGGTGAAGTTATTGAAACGTAGACATGAAAATGACAGATTTGAGACTAGGACAGAGGTAGGCATAGTGTGGGCAGATGATGCAAAAAGTCTCCCTCACTCAGCTCTTTCATTTGATATAATCTTTGATTGATTTGGATTTGAATGCAAGATCCCCAACAATGAAACAACAATGCATCAGCCATATTTCAAATCATAAGAAGTTTGTTTT